GCCCAAAATCGGTATTTTGGCCGCAGATATGCAGATGAAGGAGTTGAAATTTAAAAAAAAAATAATTACGCCAATATTAGCGCTGTTCCAAAAACTACATAAAAGGTATGATACCGCAGATATGCAGATGAAGGAGTTGAAATTTTAACAAAATAATTACGCCAATATTAGCGCTGTTCCAAAAACTACATAAAAGGTATGATATCACAATTTCAAAAGTATTGCGTGAAGCCTAATACATATAGCAACAACAACACTACTTATTCATTGAGTATTTCGTTTCATATGTTTGGATGGCTCTGTGTTTCATTGCCTTGTGTATTTTGTTTTTGTTCATTTTGTTTTGCTATTGCTATAATAATGATATAGTCGGGAAAATGAAATACATTTAAATTTTATGAAATTGATATTTATTAAATACACTATGGTGAAGGGTATATAAGATTCGGCAAAGCCGAATATAGCACTTTTACTTGTTTTTATTTTATTTTGTAAGGATCAAATAATGTAAAAATTGTCTTTCAAAAATTTTTCGAAAAAGAATGTTGAAAACCTAAATAGATATTGAAGGATACATATTTAAAAGACATTTTTGACATCTTTTATCCTGACAGTATAAAATAAAAATAATACAAAATGTTTCCCAAATCTTCTTGCTCGCTTGACATCACATTTTAATGATCAGTAGAAGTATTTTAAAATATTTCGTGAACAATTTAATTTTTAAAACTTTGAAGCCCTTTAAAAGGGACACAGAATCGCGAAATAAAAAAACGCAGTTTTTCTCCATTAAATTTATAATTTCAGACGTATATTATCCCGTTCGTGTCAAACGATTTTTTTCTCTTTATGTCAGACGGTGTTACAAATGAGATCAAACAATCCCAAAAATGTAATTATTGTACATTAAGTAGACCATTGGATTTACGTAATAAATATCACATATAAGGTTTTTGGGGACACTAATTAAGATTTTGAAAGAAAAAATAAAAATGGCGAATCCAAAATGACGGTTAACATTTTTAAAAAATAACTTACTAGAATATCTAATGAACACATATTTGTTCAATTCACAATCAAGTTGTATATTGTACCTACTAAAATGTAGTAACAGGGATTGTGAACAGATATTTGCAGCAAGTCATAAGTTTATGTTCTCAATGAAAAAAAAAAAAAAAAAAAAAAAACAATCAAAACAAATATACATAACAATATCAAAAGATAAAAAAATCAAAAATATTAAATTAATTAAACATGCGAAGTAAACCTTAAGTTTTTTTGTTTTGGTAAACAGCTGTTTGTTTTTGATTTCAGTGTTACCACTTTATCGTTTTTTTATGCTAAAAACGTTTGAATTTTTTGTTTATATGTTGAAATAAACAATTGGCAACACTAAATTTTCTTACAACATTCGAAAAACATATGAAAAATTGTCGTAGGAGTTGTATAGAGCTTTTGCATAGAAAATACCAACAACATTGTTATGACTATTGTAGCAGCTGCTGACATACAACGCAAACAACGCTACAACATCGATTGTGAATTGAACAATTGTAGATTTTTAACCACTAAGAACAATTAAGAATTCAGATTTTTGAAATTTAATAAACTAGATCCTAAAAGGCGGAAGCACCGAAAAATCAATACTCATTTTAAAATATTTAACCAGCACTACTAAAAGGTTAGGTTAGGTTGATAGGAGGATGTATACTACATCAAATCCGAAAAAATACACCTAGGCCACTATTGGGCCTGTTGTGCGCTCCTAAGAATTTTCCAGTCAGTTCTGGTCAGGAATGTTATTTTCGGAATAACATCACTTCCAAGATACTTGGATCTAACTTCGACGAATGCCTGACAGTGGCATAGAAAGTGCTCCAGAGTTTCACTGTCCTCTCCACATGCTCTACATTCATCTGAATCCGCACGGCCAATTTTGTGTAGATGTGCTCGTAATCCTGTGTGTCCACTCAGAATACGTACCATCATAGTAACTTCAGACTTGCTCATTTAGAGGAGATTTCTCGTCATAGGATCCTTGTGGTTCTACCCACCGAGTCATTATTCCAAGAGGCCTTATGGGATTCTCTAACCCATAATTTTAATTCAGCTTTTGTTGCGTCGAATGGTTTTGCATTCGTCAGGTTAACTACCTCGAGCTACCGTTTATAGCTATTACATTCGCCATTTCTTTGCCGACTACTCCCGAGTGGCCTGGTACCCATATGATGTAAACCTTACCTCTGGAAGAATAATAAGATAAAGCTTTCTTACAATCCAATAGGGTTTTAGATTCTATTACCTGATATCGCCCTAATTGCCTCCTGGCTGTCGGTAAATATATTAAGCCCTGTGGGCCCCAAATTTATTCTAATCAAATTAACAAATTCCGTTATTACTCGGACTTCCGCTTGAAAGTTTGTGTTATGATTAGGTAAACGGTGTTATATTTCTGTTTCTGGGTCTTCAATATAGAACCCTAGGCCCACTTTGTCGACCAATTTAGAGCCATCCGTTCCGCTTGACCAAGACATTCTATTTGGGATCAGCGTTTCAAAGTTTCCGACATATCCTGTGTCTGGTGATCGCACACCACGTCCGATGATTGTGTATAACCTTCCAATGTGTCCAGCATACCTAAAGTAAAGAGACGTTCGGCTGTAAGCGCCGCCTCATATCTTAAATATGTTTCAATGGGAGGAATATATAGACACGTTTGCAGAGCCTTGGTTGGAATAGTATGGCACCACTTATACCCAAGTAGCATGTACGCTGAACTCCCTGTAGTAGTTTGATATTACACATTTTGTCCAAAGCAGTCCACCAGATTATTTATAGTAGGACTAAGGACCAGACTTTTATAGTAGGACTAAGACCCCATTTTATGCCTATAGTTCTCCTACATATCGCCCAGCACCGATGTGCCTTGTTGATCCTATTCTCTATGTGGTGTCTCCATTTTAATTTCCTGTCAAGGATTACACCTAAGAATTTTACTTTGTCTGTCACCGGTATCTTCAGGCCCAGGAAGGAGGGTTCAGTATACGTAGACATTTTTTTCTTTCTTGTGAAAAGATGTCTGTCTTCGCCGGGTTAACATTGAGGCCTCTCGATTGAGCCCAGCTCAAGCCCGTATTCAGATCCTCTTCAGCTTCTTCTACACAAGTAATTTGGATCAATTCCCTTTAAAAGTATTACGACATCGTCTGCATAGCAGACAGATCTAAGTCCTTTATCAGTTAGGGTCCTTAGGAGCAGCGTAGCCAATTTAGCGCTTTTGGCGCTAGATATAGCGCCTTTTAACAATCCAAAAGTCGCATTTTTTCCTCTTAACGCTTTTTTGGAAAAAGGCGCTAAATTAGCGCTTTTTTTTAATAAAATAAAATTATTCTAGTTTAACAATAAAGATAAAACGGAATAATTTTAGACAGTACTCTGCCGTACAAATTTATTAAAGTTCCTTTTTCTAAACTTTCCATATTATGAGTAATTCAAAGATCTTTTAGTATAATGAGTTATTTTAAAACTTTAAAACTAAAATAAAAAATATTCACCTTTTTCGCCAAAAGAATTGAAATTTGTTTCTTCTTAAATTTTCATTCCCTTCGAAGGGAAAATTGATTTCGTGAAATTCCACAACAGTTGATTTTGATCGTAACAGCTTTTTATTGATCAGAAAATTCTATAAAAAATTCACAACAAGGGAAGTTTTTTACGTCAAAAAAGGGAAAAGTTGTAAATTGACTTAATTTCAGTTAGGTTAACTTGAACTTGAAATTAAAATTGCATTTCGTGAAAACTATTGATATTTTAATGTGAATAATACAAAAATAATTTTGATCGCACAAAGTTTGATTCACAAAAATTTAGCATTATTTTTTTATAACTTCACTGTGAAGGAAACAATTACTTGACGATTACTTCAGTTTTTTTCACAAAGTTTTGGCTCTTGGTATTTTTGGAAATGAAGAGTTCAATTAAAATTTATTATGGGGAATTTCAAAAAATCTCTTTAACTAGTTATTGAGATCTTGATCGATGATAGCAATTAGTCATTGAATAAGAAAATCGAACATATTTGTATTACCCTTAATTTTTTAAATTTCGTTCCCGAATCAAAATTCCAATTAAGGAGTAATTTTTTAATAAAAAAATTTTAGCTAAATACTATATTTTTTAAGACTGTGTAAAAATATAATTTTAGCGCTTTTTAGTGCGTTTTGAGTGAATGGACGACGCGTTTTAGTATAAAATAGTTGACAACACTGCTTAGGAGACTATTAATAGTGGTAACCCAGCAGCTTATCCATCTGTTCCTTAGTATGTAGTTAATAGCTAGGATTTCCTGGTTTTGGTATAAATATTACCCTTGCATCCTGCCATTTAACTGGGGTATATGTTAATTTCAAGCATGCAGTTAATATTTGTGTCAGATGTATGGAAACCAGTCCCGCCTGCATCTGAAACTGCCGGGAAAAAGTCATCTGGCACTGCAGCTTTATAGGGAGCAAAGCATTTGATTGCCCCTTTAACCATGCCCTCTCCTTCCTCCAATATCGGTTCATCTGTGTTATTCGATATACCGGGTGGGAAATGAGAACTTGAATATTATATGCCTAAAATCTTATTAACTATTTAAGAATTATAAACATTCTTAGAATAAGAAATAAAATAAAATAGAAAAGTTAGCCAGAAAATATATTTCAATCTATATTAATGTTAATTGAAAATAAACTACAGGTAATTTTTTTTGTGTATTTTAAAATAAATTTCATAAGATTTTTAATGGTATAAAAAGATAAAATAATGAACAAAAAGAGTTAGCAATTGAGATGTCAGTTAAAGGGGCATTAATAAACTTTGTTTATAAACAGTAACTTGCAATTTTTTTTTTAATTATCGTTCGCGACTTTGTAGAATAGTTTTTTGATTGGGAGCACATTAAAAACACTGAAAAGTACGGAAACACACATAATGTTGGCATAATGTACTATATTTACCTGTGAATTCGGTGTTTTGTTTTAAATCCTCCAGTACTTCTGGTTTCAGCTTGCTGTTTTGCTTTCCCATTTTCTGCACACATGCCGAGTAAAATCTTAAATAACAAATAATACAAATATTTATATGTTAGGATTATGCAAATTTTGTAGCAGTTCGTTGATAGACAATTTTTGGTTTTACTGGATATTTTTTCTCCAGTAAAAGATATCAAACATGTATTTACGACATATGCATAGTTGATATTTGAAAATCTAACGTGGGCCTTACACTATGAGACTTTACGTTCGACTTTACTTATGGAAAATCAAATTAAATTCCATCCGTATATTATATAAAAAAAGAATATATACATATGTATATATAATATAAAATATCTCCATATAATATAAAACATGTTAAAAAAAATTTCTGCAATCTTTTCGAATTGGGTGTCAAAAATTCCGTAATTAAAGTTATAGTTAGAGTATTTCTGGTCCGCAAAACGACTTTTATTGTATTATAAGAGCCATATACATTTCAAAAAATTCTGAAACGGACTAAACCAAATACCAAACTATTTTTTAAATATTTTTTTGTATTAGCTAAAAATTACGAACATTTTGACACTAATTTCGATAAAAAGCGAAAACAATATGCCTCTCCAACCCACTCAAAGTATTCTACAACAAGTCAGATTTCTATATTCGGCTGTGCCGAATCTTATATACCCTTCACCAAGAATGTTTTAAAAACAGTTTTTATTTATTTTTAGATTTTAATTTTATAAAATTCCAATTAAATTAATTTTATTTTAAATTTAAATGGATTTAAATTTACCCAGCGTTTAAATATCCAGTACTAGCACCATCTTTCTTGTATATGGCTATAAAATCCTTTATAATTTCTGTATCACTTTGCTACTAAAAATTGCAGTTTTGTTTACATTCAAATTAATTTTTTGCAAAAAATAATGGACTAATTGGTTATATTAAAATTTTAATTAATAAATATTTTATTATAACATATACATAAACAAATATAACCTGTATTAGCACAGAAAGAAATAGTGACTGTTTTATCTATCCACTGTATTACCACCCTCAAACAAATATGCATCAAAGTAAAAAACAACAATAACAAATAAATACATAATTTCTAGTACAAGCCGCATTTTGCATCGAATTGTATTCTTGCACACATGTCGCACATAACATACACACAAACAAATATAAACTATATTAGCGCAGAAAGAAATAGTAACTGTTGTGCCTATCCACTGTATTACCACTCTGAAACAAATATAAGCTGTATTACCAAAATATTACTGATTTATCTCGTTGTCATTGTTTTTTATGCTTTTTCTAAATTTATTAAAACAATTTTCAGAGGTATCGATCAATTTTGCTGATTTTCCATAGGAAACTTCTCGAAAGCATGTCTGACAGAATTATTGAAGATTTGTATCCCAAAGATATCTGGGATCCTCAGAAAATTGATTTTAACAGACAGACAGACGGACATGGCTTAATCGATTCCGCTATCTATAAGGGTCCAGAATATATATACTAAAGACGTGCACAGTTACAACTGTTTGCACAAGTTTTGTAGTGTCTACTACTATGAGTGCGTATTGATGAGTAGTTGAGTAGTTCTGGTACAAGTTGATATTGTTATTTTCTCAACTATAGGTTGTGTGAGTGAGTACAAAGAGAATAAGAGTAACATACTTGTTTTGCTATACCCCTGCCAGCAAATTTGAGTTTAATTTTGGATACATGAACTGAATAGTCACTATAAAGGCTCAATTTTATGTTCCTTAGTGCTAAGTTAAAAAAATTACAAAAACAAAATACAGTACTTTCTAATTTTGATCATAATTTTGTTAAATTTTAGTGCGTTTTAATATACCAAAAGCAAGATTAAATGATAATAAGTAGATAGAATAAAAATTTCAAAAACTAACACTTTTTAATACACTAAGAAGATAGTTTAATGCAGAATCATTCTTGATCTCAAAATTCAGAAGGAAAAGTGTTTTCACATTTCAGTAAATATATTTATTTCATTGTGATCAGTTGTGTGATATATTGTGAACTTTAGATTTTGTAATAAATTGTGTTAATTTAAAATTTAATATATCTAAAACATAGTTTAATATAAAATAAGCATCAGTGAGAGATTAGTGAGTGCAAAACAGTATAATAAAGAAGAAATAAAAAAAATTATTATAAAGTCGCTTTTATAACATAAAAGAGTATAAAATTATAACACTTTCCAGCTTCTCTATTGTTATGGCAAAACTGGAAATTTACTACATTTAGGAAATTTTATGTTATAAAAAAGTGACTTGAAACTGAAACGAAATGGGCACATCAAGTAAGTATTAAACAGGCGGAACAGTTTCTTCCGAACGGGGTCACTTTTCATTCACTCAGATTATATCAAATTAGATTGTTTTAAACATTAAGCTGTAACGTTATGGTTACAATTTGGATAGAAATTGTTGGCAGGGTCATTATCTATTTTATTTGTTTGGCAAAAGTCCCTGCCAACAATTTCTATCCAAATTGTAACCATAACGTTACAGCTTAATGTTTAAAACAATCTAATTTGATATAATCTGAGTGAATGAAAAGTGACCCCGTTCGGAAGAAACTGTTCCGCCTGTTTAATACTTACTTGATGTGCCCATTTCGTTTCAGTTTCAAGTCACTTTTTTATAACATAAAATTTCCTAAATGTAGTAAATTTCCAGTTTTGCCATAACAATAGAGAAGCTGGAAAGTGTTATAATTTTATACTCTTTTATGTTATAAAAGCGACTTTATAATAATTTTTTTTATTTCTTCTTTATTATACTGTTTTGCACTCATTAATCTCTCACTGATGCTTATTTTATATTAAACTATGTTTTAGATATATTAAATTTTAAATTAACACAATTTATTACAAAATCTAAAGTTCACAATATATCACACAACTGATCACAATGAAATAAATATATTTACTGAAATGTGAAAACACTTTTCCTTCTGAATTTTGAGAGCAAGAATGATTCTGCATTAAACTATCTTCTTAGTGTATTAAAAAGTGTTAGTTTTTGAAATTTTTATTCTATCTACTTATTATCATTTAATCTTGCTTTTGGTATATTAAAACGCACTAAAATTTAACAAAATTATGATCAAAATTAGAAAGTACTGTATTTTGTTTTTGTAATTTTTTTAACTTAGCACTAAGGAACATAAAATTGAGCCTTTATAGTGACTATTCAGTTCATGTATCCAAAATTAAACTGAAATTTGCTGGCAGGGGATGGTTGTACAACAAATAACTTATTGTATGCTGCAAGCGTATAAAAACACAGTTGTTTAGAAACATTTTTTTATTATTTTATAATGTATATTCGGTATCTCGTGATCTATAGGAGATATCGTAGCAAAATTTAACATAGTTAGAGCTGAGGTGTCTGCGTATCTACTTTCAATCTGTAGACTCCGTAGGTCCAATGGAGTCCAGTGGTAAGGCCCTTAAAAAATTGGTCACCTCGAATCAATTTTTTTAAAATCAATAAAAATGATCCGAATTAAAAAAAAAAACATTTTAATGAAAAAATACAAAACAAAACTTTTGAAAGGGTCCTTAGTTTCCTAATTGAAAATCCTGATCTCAGTACAATTTGCCAAAAAATAAATTTTTAAATTTTGTCGAAATTCATCTCAAATATTCCCTAAATTATAAAATTTGTAAGAATATTTTTGGTCCACAAAAAGACTTTTATTTAGCGCATTACAAAGGACACAAAGATTTTGAATTTTTTCGAAATATGTAAAAATTATCGTAATTTTAAGAAAAGTTTACAAATATATTTAGCTTTTTACTTAATGACTTTTTTAATTTATGTAGGAATTCTGAAGCACTAAAAGTAATTCTGTGGAATAAAAGTACTTCAAACAATTTTATGATTATTTTTTCTAAAAAATGTAGGAAACTTTTTTTATAATTTGTACTGAGATCATTATTTTCAATAGGTGGGAAAATTATTTTTTATTTTTTTCGAGTTCACTACGACAATACACATCATTTGAGACTTGTGCCCACTTTAAATCACAAAAAGCTGTTTCTCGTTACCCTTTTCTTTAGATCAGATATTAGGCTTAGACTTTTTTTGAGATTTTTTGAGAGACATTTTTCAAAATTAAAAAAAAAAAAATGTTCTTTTAATGTTGTATTTTAATTTTTTTTATCAAATAAATGATGATAAGGAATATATTTATATTTTCTTTTCATTAATTATTGATTTTATGTCGATTAAAAAATATAACTCTGGAGACCACCTAAGAATATTTATGTAAAATTTAATTTCAATATCCACAATAGTTCACTAGAATTATTTTCAGAAAATGTTGAAGTACTATCAGAAAATATCACAGAAAAAACAGATTTTAAAAAAAATTCAGTTAAACGATAAATCGAAAATTTTAAAATGGTTCAATTCATTTTGTGTTTGAATCATAAAAATGTATAATCAAAGACGTATTTAACAACAACAAAATTAGAAACAAATAAAAATTTTGTGTGAAATCAATCAAAAATGAAACTTCAATAAATAAAATAATTGAAAACGAGGTTTTGGTAATTGAAATCGTTTTTCAGTTTAAATAAATATTAAATAAAAAAACTGAACTAGAATATTAAATAAAAATATAAATAAATAAATATTCACTAATTTATTATTCATTTATTACATATTTTTCTTTTGTTTTGAAATAATCTTATTTAATATAAATAAATATACTGCATTAATAATGTATTACTATAAGTAACAACAAATAGTCAAAAATATTTATAGTACAACAGTTATTTGAGAGCAAGAAACAAATACAATACAGTATTCAACTCAAAACCATAAGCAACTGGTATTGTTTTTGTGGATAGAGTGGATGAGCACAAGCAAAAGCATACAATATCAGTTACACTCATTCTCTCATTTATACTTATAGTATTAGGTACTCACCATGGTGTATTTGTTTTACAAATACTTTGTGGTGTACTACTGCACGTCTTTAATATATACTTTATAGGGTCGGAAAATTATATTGTGGAAATTACAAA